ACTATTTCTTTAAAAACCGGGGACGTGCCCAGAACGGAAACCTACCTAAATTAAAATCTTATGTAATTCTAAAAAGAATAGAATTGTAATTTCGCCTTTGAAAATTGCGTGGATATCTCAAATCAACGTGCAAAGACGTGCGAATTTTAGTAAAACTTTCCACCTTCGAGTAGAATAAATTAATCACTGTTCGTATTTATGCCGAAACAAGTTCTTAAACTTACCCTAAATTGGACTATTTTTGCACAGTTTCATCTACATACAAAACGTCTTCTTTCATTATTCATGGGAAGAGTAAAACACACGCAAATGAATACAAAAGAGAGGACACCGGCTCCTTCGCCATGTTTACTTACATCTTCAAAGTTTCCCGCCAGACACAGGTATACCKCRYGBYATGTATTCTATTTGACTCACGCATGCGCAGACAAATGTCCCTGCTGTTGTTTCCAACATTTAGTTATCAACTCCACCACAAGAAAGATCGCATCAAAATTTATAGACTACATTTCCTAAGTTTGACATATTTTGTGTAAATTCCAGCTAGCTTAAAACTGTACATAAGTCAGAATTACATGTCGGGTTTTACTTGGCCCAGACCTCCCTCTTATCACACATGGTTTCGAGATTTTACGAGTCTCTAAAGGATTGCAATTCAGTTGCCATTTACAGCAATTTCAAAAAACGTTGACAAATTGATTATTGAATAGTGGATTTCATGACCGCAATGCATTGTTAGCATGCAACTCCACGTTAGCGACATTGCAAAATTTAACAGTGAAGTTTAAATTTAATTGCTTTCCATTGTAGTTCTTGACTGTATGGAGTTGGTATAGTTGAATCTGAAGCGCCATGAAAACCGCTTTTGAGCGATATCCCACGATTAAGCGCAGTAATTTATCTCAAAAAGACAAGAAAAGAAGTGATTTGAACAGAGTATCCATGGTAACATGTTATCATGTGAAGATATCGCCTTTTCTCGCAAGAGATTGGTCTTTCTTGAGTGAAGTTTTAAGAAACTTGTCCCCAGTCCTCTACCCTCTGAAAAGGCCAGTTAGATTTACGTCACTCGTCAAAAGTAAGTTACAAAGGGTACAAACCCGTGGCATTGCTTGGTTAGACATAGTAAATACCGTGACGACCGTCAGTACTGACGTGACACCCAATGTTACTCTAGCTGGAGGATGGTCACGTGGTAACATGAAGGAAATCCACGACAGGACTACGATCAAAGCGCTAGGGCCGTAGATCTGAATCACGTAAAAACTGTAAGTACGTTGGAACGTGAATGTTGCTGTTAAACCAGACCAGTTCCCTGAGAAAAAAAAGGAAAATACAGTAAAAACAGACATCGCCTACAATGAAACCATGAGAGTATATTTACCTACAAT